TCGATACGCCCTGCTGCTGCATGACAGGCACACACACCTCAGCTCTGCTGGGGAGGGCAGCGGGGGCGGCTCTGGCTCAGGGTCTGTCCTGAGGCTGCTCCCAGCAAACCCTGGCCGAGCCAGGCTGAGCTCCCGGGGCTGCAACCACGATGCTGTGACCCAAGAAGAGCCACTGTGCAAGCCAGGCACCTCTCACCCCGACCTGTGAGAGACTACAGCTGCGCACGCTGCCACTCTGCCCTCTGCTGTTGGTCACATGGACCTCTGTGAAGTGGAGAGAACCGCGGGTGTGAATATCAAGGGAGAGGGGCCTTTGGGCACATCCTGCAGGCTGTGAGTCACACCTTCTCATAGGCAAGGAAACGAGGCAAGAGGTTTCACTCCCGTGGGATTGGCTGCTGCTCAGGGGGTGGGAACCAGGGTTCTCTTAGGGCCTTTTCACCAGACACCATAGACCAAGCATGTCAAACTCAAAGGCTAACACAGGCCAAATAAAGGTTTAGGTGTATGCGGGCCGCAAAAAAACAAAAGCTTCAGTTTTCATAGAAATGTAGGTTTATTTCTATAGAGACATGCTGAATACAAAGGGCTGAAATAAATGAGTCATCGTTCACATAAAATAACTGAACATTTTAAAAATTAATATTTTTTCTTGAACATTAACTTACCAGACAGTGAATAACTGCACAAATTAATAAGTGTAACACAAATAAACCTATTTTTCTTGTTCTCCAAAAGCAAAACATTTCCTGTTGCGCCCACCAAACAAGTCACACAAAATTTTTATTAAAATGTTTCTTACATACCATTAAATTGGCTGGGCCGCAAAAATATTCATTGTGGGCCGCATGCAGCCCGTGGGCTGTGAGTTTGACATGCTTGGTGTAGACCCCGTAAAAGTCATGGCCTGGGCCTACGGGGGGTTCCTGCCCGCAGCCTGTGAACACTGGTACCATAGGGGTTTCTTTGCTGGACTTGGTTTAGAAGGCAGGATGGCCTCAAAGGTGAGGGTTTCACACCCACCCTGGTGGGACCTGGCCCAGCCTTTCGCAGAGGACAAAGCTCTGCAGAACTGGCCATCCACAGCGTCCACACTGCCTCGCGGTTCCTCTGCTCAGGCCTGACGGACGTGTCTCAGGAGACAGCGTCCCAGCCTCTGCAGTCGCGGCGGCCAGTGCGCTCTGTGTCTGGCCTGAAGGTTTGTACTTCAGTTCAGGACTCTGGTCTCCCCGTTTTTAGAGCTTTTCTTCTATCCTACCTTCCAGTGGGACTTGCCTTTTGATCCGTGACAGGGTGCATGAGAGTGGGCTCCCCACCACCGCAGCACTGTGTGCCGGCCCCAATGGGCACTGGTTGATGTTCGGTCCCTTTGCCTGCCTGCCCTGTGTCTTTCCTGCAGAATGGGGAGCTGATTTATGGCTGCAAAGATGCCCGCAGCCCCACAGTTGACTGGCGGGAGCTGGCACATCACCTGAAGCCGTTCTTCTACCCGTCCAACGGCCTGGCCAGCGGGCCCCACTGTGCGAGGGCCGTGATCCGGGAGCTGGTGCGCGTCATCACGCGGGTGCTGCTCAGTGGCTCAGACAAGGGCCGGGCAAGTGCCCTGAAGTTGGGGCCTGGGTCCTCAGGGCCTTGTGTCTGTGAAGCCAGCCCCTTCAGGAGGAGCCTGCGTCACCAAGGTAGGCTGGCAGGTGGGCAGAGCCCGGCGTCGCCTGATGGGGTCCTGCCTGGTCTCCTGGAGCTTCTGCAGGAGCAGCCTGGGCCCCACCGGCCTCCCTGCCTCTGAGCCCTAAGTGGGGAGGCTCCCTTCTTGTCTCCACCGTGGGTGTATACATGGCAGCCCAGATCTTCCCTACATCACTGTCCACCGTGTCAGTGTTTGCTGAGTGCTTTCTCCATGTCCTCCTGATCCATCCTCTTTGTGAACCTGGGGCAGGCTTCCTCGGCCTGTTCGCAGGCACAGAAGTTGGAGCCCCACAGTGCAGGTCCTTTGCAGGGGGAGGAGAGGGTGCAGGGCCAGCAGGTGCAGGGCTCCTGGCTCTGGGCGCTCCCTGCTCGAGGGCCTGTTCCTCACAGACTCACCAGGAGCTGGCTGTGACTCGGTGGCCTCTGGGCTTCCAGGTGGCTAGCTTGAATTTTTGTCCTGAGTGTCCCCACACTCCTTGTTTGCCCCTGTGTCATCTGCCAGCAGCTCAGGTCTGTGGCATGAGGAGCTGACTAGGAAGAGGAAACTGCGGTTTTGCTGCGGTCTGAGCTCTGGTGGGGCTGTGGGTGACTGTTAGAAGTGAGGTCACCTAGGCACAACCTAAACCACCACCCTCCGAGTGCTACCTCTTCTCCACATGGGCTATGGGTCGGGGCTCCACAGACACGCTCTCTCACATTTGGGGCTGTTAACATGGTCACTTTAAATGTTGTGCCTTATCTGAGAGCCATCTCTCTAAACAGCTCGGGGTTGGTGTGAGGGAGTTGACGGGTGCTGCAAGGGAGGAGAGGCACAGAGTGAGATGTGGGTCACCTGGCCCTGTGCACATGCCTGCAGCCCCAGCACCTCTGAAGCGGGCAGCCTGTGCCTGCTGCCGACATCAGTCCTTGACAGTAACCCTCCTTTTCCCCGGATGTTCTTGGTAGGAAAAAGCAGCCTGGAGCACTCGGGGTTGCCGAAGGGCTGTCTTCTGTACCAAACCCTTCAGGTGCAGATGTTGGACCTGCTGGACATCGAAGGCCTCTACCCTCTGTACCGACGGGTTGAGCGGTACCTGGAGGAGTTTCCTGAGCAGAGGTGAGGCTTGGCCTGTGGTACCCCTGCCCCTCTGGGTCCAGGTGGGACCCCTGAGCAGCTCTGAGGGTGAGATAGGGTGAGGGTTAGGGTTCTCCAGTGGAGGACAGCACAGGGCTCCCACGAGGCTGACCCAGCTGCCTTCCCTCCATCCCTTCAGATGCAGGCCTGCCCCGGGATGGTGCTGTGGGGTCAGTTTCTGGAAAAGCAGCACGTCCTGGGGGTTGGACAGTCCACAGCCGCGGCTCTGGGTCCTGAGTCAGGGCTGAGCTGCAGGGGGCAGTGCTGCTCCACAGCAGCAGCCTGTCTGCCCGGCAGCCTCTGCCTCAGGCTTCCCTGTGCCCACCAGTCGGGGTGGCTGGGTCCACACAGTCAGGGCGGCAGGCGGCACCTGCCTCCCACTCTCCCTTCACGTGGGCTCTGACTGGACGCCGTGTATTAGGATCAGGACGTGTTCAGCTCAGCTCCCAGGCTCTGGTCTTCCAGGGTCTTCAGGGCAAAGTGTAGACTCGGAGGAGGAGGAGCCCTTTGAGCCAGAGGTGTGGTTGCTGAGCTGTTAGCTGTTTAGGAAACAGTCCCTGTGTCTGTGGCATCTTATTTCCGTCCCTTCCCTTCAGGAAAGCGTTGCAGATCGATGGGCCATATGACGAAGCGTTTTACCAGAAGCTGCTCGACCTTTCCACAGAGGACGATGGGACAGTGGCCTTTGCGCTGACCAAGGTGAGCAGGCCTTTCCGGAAGCGCACCGGGTGCTCCTTAGGCTCTCACACTGAGCTAGGCTTTCCTGAGAAACATTTCCTGGTGGTTGAGGCAGAAATTGGGAACTTTAAAGAAGCATGGCTAAGGTTGACCTCGTATGGACTGGCCTGGGGAGGATTGGTTCCGGTGGCTCCAGTTTAGCCCTGGACCCAGCTGTCTCCGCACCCCATGCCGGGGCCCAGGGCTGCAGCCACCTCTCTTCGCTTTCTTTTGAGAAGCTGGGGTACTGGCTGGCACCAGCCCTGTCTTGTGGCCTCCCTGGGGTCCGGACCCACTCTGGGCTGGGTGGGGGGCTTTCTTCCTCTGCAACTCAGGCCCAGGGGAGCATGGGAGAAACTTTTAGGGAAGAGGCCTGGTCCTGTTCTTTCTAATTCTGTCAAACCAGGGAATTCAGAACCTCCATGGAACTAGGTAGAAAAATATATCTTTTACTAAGTTAGCATTTCCTTCCATACGAATATGGCAATGACATCTATGAAGTGAACAGGATCCTGACTGCACCGAGAAATCAGAACTTTCATTTCACACTGCAGCTGCTGCCGAAGCTTCACGGAAGCTGTGCAGTCCTCATTCTGAGGACTGGTTTGGTTCTGTAGTTCTGAGTAAGACATTCGTTTTAAAAATTGTGTCTGATAGGGTCATCTCTGTCCTTTATTTTCTGCATTGAAAGATGTTATTCTGAGAGGCATCCATGGGCTGCACTGGGTTGTCAGGTGGTGTAGAAGCTGAAATGGGAGGTGACAGAGGCAGGAGCAAAGTGCTGACCTCCTGTGTGCACCGGCGGCGGACCTGATGCCCAGAACGGCCTGTCCTGGTGCCCGTGCTTGTGTGTGGTTCCCACTGTGAGGCCTCACTGTTGTCTGGCCGAGGAGGGCCCTGCAAAGGCCACGCTGTCAAAGCCGAGAGACCCACAGTGGGCCTCAGCCTCGGCATCAAGCGACAGAGTCTGCCCGTTTCTTGGCTGTGGGATAAATAACAGCATTGCTTCTTTTTTCAAGAGGAAACAGGACTTTACTTCCTTTTTATCCATTTCTATGATTTCAGAATGCCTACTGAATAAGCATGGGTTACTTCCTAATTTTATTTCAGTTTTTTAACCTCATGTAAACATTATCTTACACAGCAATGGGAATGGCTAAAGTCAGCACATTGCGGGGACACTGAGTGCGATGCAGAGAAGCAGGGTCATTCACACACACCAGCCCCTCGGAGAAACACTATTGCAGCTTCATACAAAATTACACGTGCAGGCAGCCTGTGACCCACTGGCACTTCTCTGAGGACAAGACTCATGCATGCCCAAAATCCGGGCTAGAATCTGCACTCGGCCCGGTGTCAGCAGGTGACCTACAACAGGTTGCCTGAACGCATTGCTGAGCAGTGAAAAGGAATGAACTCCAGATAAACACAGCACCTGGGGAACCCCCCGGGAATCTTGCTGACTGACAAAAGCCAACCACAACCAGTCACACACTGTGATTCTGTTTAGGTGACTTTAAAAATATATACATTCTAGAGGCCTGGTGCACGAACTTCATGCACGGGGTGGGGGGCTGGGGTGTCCCTCAGCCTGACCTGTACTCTCTCCAATCTGGGAGCCCTAAGAGGATGTCCTACTGATGGCTTAGTCCCGCTCCCCGTGGTTCTCTATTATCTGCAGACCTGCCTGCCTGTCTGCTCTCTGGCTCACCGCTGTGGTCAGGGGCAAGTAGGGCCCTGCTGTCTGCTCTCAGTGAGGGGCAAGCAGGGCTGACAGTACCGAACACTCCAGCGGAGGGGCTGAGGGGACTGGGCGCCACCGTCTTTCTGTGATGGAGTGACTGTTAATGTGCATATTACCCTTTTATTAGATAGGATGTTTTTATTAATTTCCAGGAGAGGAAGGGAGAGGGAGAGAGAGAATGAAGCATCAACAATGAGAGAGAATCATCGGTCAGCTGCCTCCTGTACATCCCCTACAACCTGGGATTGAGCCCACAACCTGGGCATGTGCCCTGACTGGGAATCGAACCATGACCTCCTGGTTCCTGGGTGGACTCTTAACCACTGAACTACACCAGCCAGGCATAGGTGACACATTTGCAATGACGGAGATGGGTCATTGCTGTGGGTTGGGGAGGAGGGAGGAGAAAGTGAGTGTGAGTATAAAAGGCCTACTCAAGGGATCCTTGCTGTATGGGACTGCTCTCTAACTTTACTGAGTTGGTGGGTGCATGAACTGCATGTTTGATCACACACATGCACACACGTGCACACACGCACAATGGTACGTGCAGAACTCTGGAGATGGGCAGGAGATGGAGCAGTGTTCAGGGTCACTCTCCTGGATATGAGACTGTGTTCAATCATTTCTGCAAGACGTCACCACGGGGCTGGGGAAAGGGCACTCAGGATCTCTGCCTTGTTTCTCATGGCTGCATGTGAACCTACACTTACCTCTAGACAGACTGTCTAATGAAAAGATCAAGCAGTGAGCACGTATAACATGTGGCCGTATTTCTGCCCAAGCAGTTGATATCCATGGTTAACAGTATGTCAGTGTCTTTTCAGAACTTTACACAACATGCACACACATACACGCTCACACCATTTGGGGATTGCCCACATTACAGTGCTGCTTGCTAGCTTGAGTTGAATGACACACGGCTAAGAGCTCTGTGCTGTTTGTCTGAGGGAGCAAGGGTCTAGAGCAGTGGTTCTCAACCTTCTGGCCCTTTAAATACAGTTCCTCATGTTGTGACCCAACCATAAAATTATTTTCGTTGCTACTTCATAACTAATGTTGCTACCATTATGAATCGTAATGTAAATATCTGATATGCAGGATAGTCTTAGGCAACCCCTGTGAAAGAGTCGTTCGACCACCAAAGGGGTCGCGACCCACAGGTTGAGAACCGCTGGTCTAGAGGCTAAATCAGGAGAGAGCTGGGGAGCAGTGGGAGCTGGGGAACAGGTGGAGAACATCCATTGGCCACAGATGTTGAAGTTCTTTCTTGAAGGCTGTTTATCTGATGTACCTCTGGTGAAGTGAGAGAGGAGGAGGTGCTGTCTTTATTCCCATGCTCAGGAAACAGCCCAGAGTGTATAGTATTTTGTAGCAGGAGTAGGCAGAGTTTTTCTATAAAGGGCCGGATAGTAAGTGTTTTAGACTTTGTAGGTCATCTGGACGCTGCCATTGTCACTTAGAAGGAGCCAGAGACAAACAAACAAGCACAGTGTGTTCCAGTAAAACTTTCTTTACGAAACAGGTGGCGGGCTGGATTTGGCGCCCAGCCCATCGAGTGCTGCTGATCTCTTCACTTTTGCTTTTAGTTTTTATATTCCACTTTTTTACAAGTTTGGAATTTACACATTTTTTATATTATTTTAGTGATTACTTATTCAATTTGACCATGGATATTTAAAGTCTAAAGTTAATTAATGACTTAACCAACCCCAAACCACGGCTATACGGGCAAGGGAAGGAATTGGGATATTTTAATTCCATGATCTCTCCCAACATGCATGCAGTTATTGTCTGCGATTCTATTTGTCCTATTCTTTTTTAAAATCACAATATACAGTCTTATTTTACACAGGTGTTTGTTTAGACCTATCACATGTTTGCCCATATCTTATCCAACATTCTTGTATCTCAGATATTTCCTCTTTTTCCTTTTTTTCTATAACAGCTTTATTGAGGTATAATTTACATGCCATACAGTTTACCTGCTTAAAGTGTACAATTCAGTAGTATTTACTAGATTCACAAGTGCAACCATCACCATAGTCAGTTTTAGAACATTTCTTCAACTTAAAAACAAATTCCTACTTTTTAGCTACCGTCCCCTGTCTCTCCATCCCTCCCACCCCTAGCTCTAAGCAACCACTACTGCTTCATCTCTGCCTGTTCTAGACAATGCATATCAAGGTGCCATTCAACTTGTGGACCTTTATGACTGGCTACTTTCACTTAGCTTAATGTTTTCAAGGTTCATCTATACCAGTGATGGCGAACCTATGACACACGTGTCAGAGGTGACACGCGAACTCATTTTTTTGGTTGATTTCTTTGTTAAATGGCATTCAAATATCTACACTAATAAAAGAGAAACATGGTAATTGGCGTACGACCGCTACCCTTCCCATTGGCTAATCAGCGAGATATGCAAATTAACTG